AACCAGGACAATATGTTTCAAATAATGCTTAAAAACTTTTGGCGCAACACATACAAAAGAAATGAACCAACAAGAGCACAGGCAACACAAACATTGAAAAACCAACGCGATGCAATGGTGTCAGCCTTTACTAAAATGCTTGACAACAACAAACCGCCAGAACCACCGCCAAAGAAACCACCAGATGAGGATGACAGCGATGAAGAAGAAAAGAAGTTCAAACTGACAAAAATGATAGAAATAATGCTACACAACGGAGCTACAGTAGCAGATATAATATTAAACTTATCACACAGCACAATTGCAACAACTATAAATATCGCAGATTTAGTTAATCAGATAACAGCAGGAAATGCACAAAGTAGCAGTAGCAATTCATCAAATGAAGCTATTAGTGTTCATAGTTCTCCACCTATTACTGTTCATAGTTCTTCATCTGAAAGTCCAACAGAAATACCAGCACCAACTGAAGACGAAGAAGAAGAAGAAAACCAACATTTCAATTTTGAAAAATTAAAATCTAAATAATATTATATATAATGGGTTCAAGTAAATCAAAACCAGTAGAAATTGATGACGAAGAGGCTATTAAAGTAATAAAAGATATAGATGTAAATACGATAAGTGAAATGTCAAGAATTGATATTCTACAAATAAATTCATTGAAAGCAATAATCAATAAATTAGAAAAAGTTAATGAATGTAAAAAAGATAAAATATATTATAAATTACCTGCCTTAAATTTATGTAGTTATTCTTTATTTTGAAATTAATAACATTAAGCCAATGGCTTAATGCTATTAATTGCTTATACAACTTTCACTTTTTGGCGTTGATGTTGAAACAGTGCTATTTGTTTCATCTATTAAATGGTCGCGAAGCTCGCGAGCCTCTGGCGAAGCGTCTTCATCAACAAAATTATTTTGAAATCTTAATAATTCCTCGTCCGTTGCCCTCCTCTTCAATGCCTTATAAAGTTTATGTATCCAAGAATTAGTATGAAAATTATAATTACCTCTACGATACAATCCGCCACATCTACATAGTTTCATTGGCATATTATTATATTATATTAAGTTAGAATATCTTTATTCATCATTTGTAATTTGAAATGCCTGTTCAAAATTGATATGAAACATTTTGTTAATGTCTTTTGAATTCATATTCACGTAGAAAAAAGAATATGGAGCAAAATTCACTGCTTGATGATACATATCTAATAATTGCTGTTTGTCAACAATGGCGCTATTTTCTTCAATAAAACTCATTAATTCACTGGCATTTTTCAACCTAAAAATATATAATGAACTGGCATTCAAACGAATGATAGGCGCTAAAACATTGTATTTTTGTGTTGAACAAATCACACTTACTGCATCGTGCCTGCCTCTTGTAAATAATCCATGTAATAATTTACTATATCTAACAAATTTAGGGTCGTCTGCGTGGTCATCTATCACGATTAATATTGAATGCAGTTTCTTTATCTTTTTAGATTTCATATAATTAATTATTTTCTTCTGTCTTTCAATTACATTTTCTAAATCACTTGGATTATAATTATCAAAATAAATTTGTTCTTTTTCATCATCCACGTGCAATTCGTCCCTGATATATTTTTTAACTTCTGTAAAAGTTGGGTCGTTATGGACGCTGGGTGAAAATATAAATATTCTTGCGAATGAATTTCTATAAACATTCAATATTAAATTTTGAATAAGGACAGTCTTACCGCCTGTCGAAGAAGCAACTATAATACTTCTAAATGGTAATTTTGGCACGTGCTCATATTTAGATTGCTTGAATTCATATTCAGTTATGTTTATTGGTTTTATTATTGGAACATCTGTCATAGTTGATATTAAAGAAATATAGAAAATTATATTTAAAAATTAACTTGTAATTATTATTAAATGGACGTGAGGAACGAGCCTCGCGTGCTAACGCGACCATCATTATGTTATGAGTGGCGGCGAATAACATAATGGAACAGGTTGTCGCGAAGCTTCACGAGGCATCGCCGATGCGTCCATTGCTTCAATTAATAAGCATTGAAGCTAATTAGTTTGATGCGTTGTAAAGAAAACCCCAAGTGCTGAGCCCTCGAATATTCTATCATGCATGAAAATAATAAGATTAAATAATCTAAATAATTATTTTATCTTATTATTTATATGACTATTATCCATTGCAGTTGTGGTAAAACTTATGATGACAAATATTTATTTAAACATCTAAAATCGATGCATCATCAGAGATTTGTAGAATATAGATGGGATCAAGACGATATAATGAAAAAACTTTACAAGAAAAGAAAGACAGAAATTAAAAATAATTTATCTTATTATTTAATATGAAAAGGAGTTATTCAGATTATATTAATATAATAGATGAAATGGAGAATATAGAACAAGTACTAATAACTGATAATAGATGTAAAAAAATATGTTATTTTATTTTAGAATTAATTAAGTTTTTGATACAATATATTAAAAATATAAATATTAATATAAATGCCAAAAAAGAAAAAGAGTAAAACCAAAGAAAGACCAATACCAGATATTGAAGCACGGAAAGAAACAGCAGAAAGTGTTAAATCACTAGGCGAAAGTAAGACTATAAAATGTGATAAATGTAATCACATAATGAATTTTAAAAATGAATTGACAGTAGATAAGAAAGGCGGAGTTAAAGTTAGTTGTGTCCCATGTATGTTTTCTTATAAAAAAACAGATAAAGATTTTAATATTCAGAAAAGAACAGATGGTGATATGGTTATTGAAACTAACGAACATTTGATTAATGTTAGTTTTAACAGGGACATAAGTTAGTATTTAAAGAGTAGATTTAACATAATTGCACTTTATAAATATATAATTAAATAAATAATTATCTAAATAAATATATAGTAATGTCTGAAAATGAGAATTATACTATTAATGATTTAATGAAGAAGATAACATTAATTGGTAAAAATATCAAAAACTTAAATGATATGATTAAATCCATTGATGACAAAATGAAACCAGTTGAACGCGAACAACAAAGCAACGAAGAGAAGGAGAAAATCGAAAAGATATTTCAAGCAAAATCTATAGGAAGACCATCGGGCGACTACCCTACAAAGCAAAAGAAATACTGTGATATGTTGAATACAGGAAAAATCAAACAACCAAAGCAACAAACATTAGACTATTATAAAGTTTCAAAAAATGATGATGGAGTATATGTATTATTTGAATAAATAATATCTAAATAATTCTAATAATATGAATTTATTAGAATTATTTAGCGGAACAAAAAGCGTTGGAACCATAGCAAAGTCGCTTGGATTTAATGTGATATCATTAGACTTGAAAAATGCTGATATCAACACTGATATTTTGGAGTGGGATTACAAACAGTTTGACAGAAACCATTTTGATTTTATTTGGAGTAGTCCCCCATGCACTGAATACAGCATAGCAAAAACTAGGGGAATTAGGAATATCGAATATGCAAATAGTATTGTCTTAAAAACTATTGAGATTATCAAATATTTCAATCCTAAATATTTTGTAATCGAAAATCCACAAACTGGATTATTAAAGCATCAGGAGTTTATGGATGAGTTTGATTTTAAAGATGTTGATTATTGTAAATATGGATTTAATTATAGAAAGAGGACTAGGCTATGGAATAACATTACAACTTGGAAACCTAGAGAATTATGTAAAAAGGATTGTGGCAACATCAGGAATAATAAACATATTGAAACTGCGCAGAGACTGCCATCGGGCACCAAGGAAAATTGGGGAGACAATCCAACAATACATAAACAGGAAGATTTATATAAAATACCTAGCGAATTAATTTGTGAAATCTTGGTGAGTTTGACGGATTAAGGATTAACATAGCTTGATTTTTGGATTAACATAGCTTGATTTTTGGATTAACATAGCTTGATTTTTGGATTAACATAGCTTGATTTTTGGATTAACATAGCTTGATTTTTGGATTAACATAGCTTGATTTTTGGATTAACATAGCTTGATTTTTGGATTAACATAGCTTGATTTTTGGATTAACATGGCTTGATTTTTGGATTAACATGGCTTGATTTTTGGATTAACATGGCTTGATTTTTGGATTAACATGGCTTGTGAAATGTGGTGCTATAATTCTTAATTCATACTATAATAATAACATTTATACCCTTATATGTTATAATTATAATGTAAGTATAGCGTTTTATATATTGAAGATAAAATCCTACAAGGAGGATGCGAGCGTTAGCGAAGCTCGCAAGCTATGCGACCACGCCTAAAAAAATATATGATGAAACTGATGAAACAAAGGAGGGAGTGATGTTGTTGCTGTTCTATTTTTTGTCCGAGAAATGGACAAATCGTTTTTAGACAGTTCGAATATTTTTTTGATGACAAATATTTTTTGCAATATATTTTGCAAAATTTATTTTTATGAAATGGATGAGGCGAGGAGATTGAGGAAATGACATTTTGAGAGGTATATGATGAAATGAATGAGGCGAGGAGAAAGGAGAAAAGGATGGCGAAAATTTTGGAAAAATGATGATAAAAAAACGGATGAGATGGACAGAAAGGAATGTAGAAAAATGATGAAAACAAATAAGGGTAGAAGATGGAAGATGAAAAAAAATGTAGGGTGGGGGGTATGTATGAAAGCAATTTATTGCTAGGCAAGGCCCTCGACTACTGAGAAAGGGCACCTAGCTGGGGGACCTACGAAGGAATGCTGGTTCGATTTTCATCATCATAGCCTGGCTGCATCACCTTCCATTTGGTTAAGACCCTTAAAAAAAAGAAACAAACTATTTCCAGTAGTGATAGATTCCCTTTAAAACCAACAGGGGAAAATAAGAAAACATATTCATTTCAACAAATGGAAGTCACATGCCCGACCTTAAGAGGCTGGGCCGAAAAGGTGGTCAAGTGCAACATCGAATCACGTCGGTCGGAAAGGCACGTCGCCCATGGCTCCTGCTGCGTGGTGTTCTCAGGTGCATCCCACCTCGACACAGAACACCAAGGGCATGTAAATTTGACCCTGGGACTGTGCGCCCCCAACTGACTTGAACTATCAACACTTACATTTTTGTTTTTTCATTTTCTTCTTTTTTTGTCTTTCGCCCTCTTCTCTCAAGTAGTGATAGGTGCCCTTTGAAACCAACAGTGCTTTGGGGGAAAGTTGCCAGAGCTCAGGTGCCAGAGCTCGGCTAGGCCTAGAAACGTAGGCCTCGCTGGTTGGTTCCACAAGTCTGAACTGTTGTTCCAACAGAAACCAAACGTCGGTGAAATGAGCCAAGGTCAATATTGCCAGCTACAATTTGGAGAGTTCAATTTTGATTTTTTCACAATCCCAGGCGTGCATGATCGTGGCTCAAAGAACAAGGCTCCCAAATTAGGGACCGAGTAGACAATCTAGAGCAAACACGAAAGCAACGACCTCACTGAAGGGGCTGGACAAACTACTGCGGCATGCGTCTGGCCTACATCGCTCAAATATACGTGTGTGTGCATATGCACCGCTTAAAGGCATCGCCGTGCAATCGTGTGATCAATAACGATATACGCCACAAACTGCGAACGCCAGCTTCGCACCATCGTTCGTGACATGTCCTCTAGCATTGCCTGATCCTTTATTTAAGACCTCCCCAATTCCCTTGCTTGAGACATTCTTACGAAAACAGTCACTTTGGCACACAGTTATCAAACACACAACCATAGGTGTCCTTTTTGGAAAATAGATGGCCCTGGTAGATGATTGAACCAGCAGGTAAACCAGGGCCTTCTATTTTTTAAGCAAAACAACCAAAAAGGACACCTATGCACGAAGCGTTTGTTGTCGGATGGGTGGACCACCTTCAACCAGCAAGTCCTCCGAACTCAAAACCTCCTGGGCGTCCCAGCACGCTGCGCGTCAGCGCGCCCAGCCGCGCAGCTTCCTGGATGTCCGGCTCGTCTTTGTCCTGGCCAAAGAGGGTGCGGACTTAGGTTTGCCAAGTCCCCTACCATGAAGCTACCTGGGCAAATTGCTATGTGAGGTTTGCGAGTCTGCCAAGTCCCCTCCTACCATGCCTGGGCAAATTGCTATGATTCCCCAAGATCGAGACACCCCCAGGACAAGGGGTGGCGGACACGTCGCTGTCCCAGGGTGAGATCTACCGGAAACACAAGGCAGGATGCCTCAAAAGCTACACGAGGGCAACGATGGCCCGCGGCCACTATCTTATCAACCATACCACATGTTGACCTCCCTCATAGGCCATTTCGGGAAAGCTTCTGCGGTCGCCAGAGGGCAAAGCATCACGCAATTGAGCACAAGTGCACACACGCGCGCCAAAGGGCAGCAAAGAGCATGGCCGGCGGCGAACAAATGCTATGTGAGTTGCACCAATCTTGCCGTACTGGTCTCAGCTAACACCGCGCATCCCAAAATAATCACAATTGGACCTAGGCCTACAAACATGTCTTGGCCCGTTTTCAACGCATACATGGCTGTGGGTCAAAAGCCCGTACCCCCAGTTCTATCATGGGTGGTGAATTCACCAATCCCCAACCAAAATGGCATCCCGTTTAACGGTTGTGACCACCATGGGATCCCACATCGGCAAATCGCTCGCGAAGGAGCCGCCTTGATGTAGGTCTGGTTGAAGAGCTTCTTGTTGCACTCGATGGCCATAGTGCCGCAGTACTTGCCGCACCTTCGGCCACGCACGAGTCTGGGCCAGCCGGCCATGCCGGCCATCGCTAACCCTCCCACCAACTCACAGCCGGAACATGACATTTTCGGGAAAAACCTTGAAGGGACCCCAGAACCTCAGGTTCCATGTGAATTGGTAGGAGGGTAAACAAAAGCGTGGACTGCCGCTAGCCCACCGACGACAAACAAACAAACAAACAGAACAACGACCGAAGATAACAATGCCCGCGGCAGACCGGCCCAAGGATGATGCTAGTCACAAAAGGAAGTAGTGGTAGACAACTGGTTGAACATGCTCCTCGTGGGTAAGTTGCTGTTTGCTTGCATGAGGCAAGTTGGCTATCATCTGCGCGAATGGAAGCTGCCAAGAACACTAGCAAACCAGCCCGCCAAATCGATACTGGGCGTGATGGGATGTTCAATGTCTTGCATAACTTTCCCTGACAATGCAAGCCACAAACCAGCGACACGAACTCAAGTATGATGCTGACTCAATCCTCTCCAAACACAGGCAAACACACAACACAAATACATACAAGGTATTAACACGGAGGACCCGACCAAGTGTGTGTCTCTCCCTCCGTTTTGCCCCTCCCCCTTTTTCTAAAGGTTGCCTATTTCTGATAAATACCTGTGCACAATCCCTTTGTTGATGCATTGATGTGTGTACGTGCTACGACACATTTAGGTGGTCGCAGGCTCTAAAAAATGAGAGAAGACATATTGCCACCTCACGCCCAAGCCTTCAAACTTGGGCCGAAACTGATCTTCCTGGCCTAGTTGACCATCTTTGTGGTTTGATCCCATGGCATTCAGTGCCTTCGATCCAAACCAAACCCTAGATCCTCCAGTGAAGAGGTTAGACTAAGGGTAGAAACTCTTTTCTGTAGTCTAGTTTTGTATTCGAACCCTCCCAACCAAAAAAGGGGTGAGAAAGGGCACCAATTGCTGGGGGACCTAGTCGACCACTTTTGTGGTTTCCCCGATCTGAAACTCGGCACGACCCTTCGATCCAAACCACTCCCCTGGGCGCGGTGCCATCGGCACTGGTGACCGCTGTGGCACGTTTCTCGGGGCCGAGCGGGGGAGACCCATTGGGTGACTTCGGGGAGAGGACACGAGGCTTCCGGATGAGCACCAAACTGTGGCAAGAGTTTGGTCGTCCCCCCACAAAAACATGATGAAATGATCCCTTTTAAGGAGGCACAGATACAACAGAAGTACCCCAGGGGCCTAAGTGAAGATCCTAGAAAACATGTGATTGCCCTTGCAGAGCAACAAGTCAAGTGAGCATCAAGGCTCCAAAGGTTCGAGTCGGCCCTAAACTGTGATGATAAATCCCAGGTGGGTAAGACAAAGCTGGTGTCTGTTGAACTTGGCACAACTGTCAGGGTGAATGATAATAATATTTCACCAACCTGAAATAAGGTGGTTGGGGGGCTACTCCCCACATAAAGCACTATTTGGAGTGAGGTTGTGTGAGGTCATTATAATTCACCTAGAACTGCAACAAAGCAATACTATCACAGACCATCACGGCATCTGCGATGCGCTGTAAACATGGACTGTAATAGAAAATGCTCGGATCCTGTGTTGATGCCTCAAAGGTTGGTGAGCTTGTGTTCTCCTGAGTAACACTTGCTTAAGCCCAGGCACATGACAATCTCTTGCACCGGAACAAACCAACAACGCAGTGCCTCGTGTCAGGCTCCCCTTTAGATTTAGAACATCAACAACTTGTACAAGTATTTAGGCACTTGCAGTTGTTCCCCCAAAGAAGTCACGAAACCCACACCCACACAAACACTGATATGATTGGTCTGCCGGTCTTCATTGCTTATTGCATCCCCCAATGAGGCGAACACACAACTGGCCAGCAATTAGTGGTACATGGCAAACGACGGTATATGCAACTCACTAGGTTGGGCACATCGCAAAACGCAATGCCCTTCGCAGGTGCACCAACGATCACTTGGCAACCTGGAAATACACGGAGCTTTTAGCCCATCTGGAACATTTGTTTAACAGGGACGACCCAAAAGGTAGGATCTTCAGGTTTTGGACCAAAATCTGGCTCAAGCCGATGCAAGACTCTTCAGAATCTGGGAAGTGTTGCGTAGCGGCAGTCCGAATCTACTGACAGCTTCATGGCCTGGTCAGGTCCAGCTAAATGAACTGCTGCCCAGGTAGTTTTTAAGTGGGCAATCCAATGAACAACTTCCCTTCCTGTGTGGCTTGCCTAGATGGCAAGACACATTTCTGAAAGAGGTTCCAAAAATCGTCCAAGTGTTGTCGGTGAACACGTGACATGTGCAAACTAAAGTCGGTGTGTTTTTTACCGGGACAGCATTGTGAAATGGACGGGTGTGCCATTCCATGATGACAAAGGAAGTCTTCCATCCCTGTGCTGTCCACTTCCATGTTTGCTGAAGAAAAAGGGTTGGTTGAACTGGGAGTAGCTCTTTCCCTTGGCCCCTGACCAGGACCGCACGCGACAACTGGGCAGCCAGCTTTCATCTGCATGGCGCACACAGCTGTCCACCTGGACAAGCAGAACTGAGCGGCTTGCTTGAGGTTGAAACACCAGACGGACAGTTCTCCCAGCCGCAGCAAACGATGTCACCTTCTAAATCGACGAAGCGGGACAAACAAAATAAGAGTCGGCGGCTGGGGGCTAAGCAAAAGAAAGAACCAAAGCGCGATTCTCGAATTGACATATGTGCGCGCATGATCATATAAGCCACGCACTACTCAAGAGCAAACAGGTCCACAACCCCATTTGAAAAGAACACATCACGCGCCAGGATATGACAAGGAAGGTAACCTGGCCCCATTCTTACCTGTGGCGCACTCTGCGAACCAAAAAAGATCACATGGTTGGACGCAACCAACTGAGGTATTGCCTGAGCCAGAATCATGCGCGCGAATATGCTGTAAAGAACATGTTGGCCGTCGCGTCTCCCGTTCAGTCAGTGCTCTTTGTGGTTGGGTGAGAATACTGCTGATCAACAATGGCTGAAACATAATAGAGCACCTCAGAACGATAATGGATCGCCGGCACCTGCTATTTTCTGGCATGAAGTGCATCCCTTCACTAGTCTGAGCCGATGCCATCTTCTAAGAAGGGGTCATATATTGTGAAAAACGAGCATGCAACAAACCACATTTGCACAAAATCCTGCACAGTGCTGAATGTACACATTGGACCAAGAATCCCAAGAGACAAGGCTACCATGGGCCAGCTCCTGCGACCCGAGTCAGCAATCGACGCCATGCAATTTCACCCTGCTTTCAAAACAAACAGCTTGAACATGTTTACAGCACAACAACACTTTGGGCATACTGCTTGCATTAGGATAGGGGAGCTGCTGAGCTTCAGATTTCATATTCAGCGTTGCCTAAACTCAATCATGCCGTGTGTCTAGCTATGCCTGCCTGATGCTTTGGAAGATCCGTTTTGCAGAGGTGACGGCGGTTCAGAGCCGCAAGATGAGGTGCTTTTCTTTTTGGGATGGAGTCAACAAGGGACTTCAAAAGGCAATCCCCCCCATTCCGCAGACACAGCCCATTTAATTTATAGAAACCACAACGAAATGGCCTGCATATGGAAGAACTGCCACACCAAGACGGTGTGCCACTCCTGGCCGGCGAAAACAGCTCAAACTTTTCGCCGGGTCCAAAAGGGCAACCGGAACTCACCTAGTGTGCCTCACGCAGGGAACCGGTAGGGAAGTCACGTTTTGCGCTTGCTTGGTTCCCGCTCGCCACAGGAAAGAAGCGAGAGTCAAAGAACAGTGAAGCCATGTCGTGTGGTTGATGGAAATACGCCTCGTGCTCCCCATGTGCTAAATCGAAAACCGTTTTTTTGCGGGTATGTAAAACGCGACGCGGTGTGAAATCTCGTTACGGAGGTATGTAACGGGGGTAAAAAAGGGGTGAGAAAGAGCACCTAGCTGGGGGACCTGGACAAAGTGCCGCAGCTCCGGCTCGGAGGTCGCAACTCTTCGGTAAAAGTGCAGTATGCAAAGCGCACCTCCGCAGCCCAAGCTTGAAATTTGCGGATCGCTGGCCCGGTGGGGTCTGAAACGAGGCATGTAACGGCTATGTAAGGAGGTGTGAGGTGTGAAATCAAGGTATAGCACAGAAAGAGGGATTTTTCTTCTGGCCCCCTTGTTCTAAGTTGTCTTCTGAATGGCAAGCGCTCTGCAAGTTGACTCTTCTGCGAAAGCATGCTGCAAAAGTCTGCTCTGCAGGCACCCATCGGAAATCACTGAGTCTGGATACGCATCGGGGCATGCAACGAGGGGCACGCAAGCGGCCAGGTGGTTTTAAATGTGAGGTGTGCAACGAAGGTGTTCTACGTACGATTGTCCATTTGTGCACAACTTTCATTAACGGTTCACTAATGTACTTGAGCCAACATGGCGCTTCAAAGGCAACGATATGTAAAATACCCATGACGAAGCAAAAGAAACATGTAGAGAGAGGTGCACGTCTTTGTTACAGTTTACCACCACGGATATGTGTGGGTCCGGAAGTCGGCCAAGAAGGGTACAATCGGGGCACGTGACATGAAGACACCGCTGAACTGATGTGTACCGCCACATGGCCATGGGTAAAAATCCAGTACCCCCAGTGAACATCCCAATCCCCACTAAAATAGCTAAAATGTGTGGTGCACCTACCCCAAAATGGTACCATTGGTTTTGACCCACAGCCACATCATGTTGCAAAGGAAAAAAATGGCACGATGCACGACTGTCGGTCTAGTCTGCTTTGCATGGGACTGAATGGACACAAGTATGCATAAACATGTTGATTCCCATGCCTTGCGGAATCCAGTCGCAAGGCACTCAGGCCTCCAAACCATTTGGGAAGCCAACGGGCATCCTCTTGGCTTCGGCCTTTTCAGCGGATGACTCAAAGTCGAACCCTGGGCTCTGCTCGGATCTCCTGGTTGCTGTCGCAGCTGCCTGGAAAGCACATCTTCATGTTCCTGGCATCGTGGGGCGTGATTTGGGCAAATGTTCCTGCTCGCTCCAGGCGCCTCTTTACTTGATAAGCTGATCATGCCGAATCATGCCTAACTACTCAGTACTAACTCAACACTCTCTCTCTCTCTCTGTCAATCGCAGATCTGGACGACACCATCTACAATGCTTGCAATTGGATGGCATGCTTTCAGAACTCGACAAACCAAACTTAGATCTTTGCAAATATGTTCCTCGCCTACAACCGGTGGACAAATGCTGCCCAGTTGCCTGTTGAAACCTACCTACCTTTCCCTATGCTGAGTAAAGAGAAAGCCATGGATGTGGCTGGGTGGCTGCTTACCAATGGGGTCCCTAATGTTGTCGGATCCCTACGCGAACTTGCTGCAATGGGCGGTGAGTGAGGAGGGTGAGGTGGTTTCCTTCAAGCGGATCGATCCCTAGGCTCATTCCCAAAACCCGGGCTCGGTCATTCCCTGAGCACCAGCAAGACAAGGAGACAAGGCCAGGGCGTGTATCAATGAACTGTCTCGAACCACGCCCCTATTGTTCATACCACTTGGGAGTCGACTTTGACAACCATGAGAAGCCAAGGGAAAGACACACATATTTGCTCTCCCAAAGGAGGGACTCCAGTGCAATGCCCGAATGTCCAAAGAATCTGGTGCAACTGCGAGCTAAAGCATACAACATGACGCTGTCAGGGCGAAGTGCCTACACAGGGTTTGGCCGTCACCTGGCTTCTGCACACTCCGTGTCGAAATCTCTGGCTAGTTTTAATAGGGGGCCCTTTGGTGGACATCATTTCGGTGGTTCAGAAATTCATGTCCAACCCCATTGTGAGGTGGCTGTTTGGACAAACGAACAAGCACCGAGGGAGCGGGGGGGGTCTGTGGGATTCCAACTTGGCGCCATTTCCCATATCAAACTCAGTCAAGTTCCATCAAACGGGGGAATCCTCCCGTATCCCTGGCTCCCCCTGTATCCCTGCTCGTTGGTTGCCCTGACCCAAAAAAGACACCATGGCCACGTGAGTCATAAACCCGGTACTAAAAATAGTCAACATTCCAGAACCATGCTCCAAGATGTTTTCCAGGGCGGCGATTTATGGTTGAGAATTGTCCCTAGCCTTCATCAATCCCCGAGTTTTGAGCAAGTGGCTCATGTCATGGAGAGCAACCACTTCGCCAAACCTCGCGCGAAGCCAAGACAATGGCGGCTTCGCGGTGGCTTCCCCGACCACGAGCAGGAGTGCAGCACGTTGTAGCCTGGAAGCTAACTGGGATTTGTTGGTGCAAAGATCTAGTGGGTCAAACATATGTAGCCAAAATGGGAACCCTGGTACATAGAGACATGGAATTTCAACCTGTCCCATGGTGGTGACACATTTTGACCCATACCCATCTGATCAGATCCAAGTTCCGCTACATTGCGCAGGCGGAAAATATGTGAATCCAACTCCTCTGCCTCAATCCCTGTGCATCCAAACTCCATTGAACACAGCCAAATGGCTGTGGCTCCACAAACCGGTACCAAAATGGAACCCTGGTAAGTGGACACATGGACCAAACCTGCGTAACCCCCCCTGTTTCATTTTGAGCCACAGCCAAATCTAATAAGAAGAGCTCCACCCTCCCCTGCAAAAACTCTTGGCACAGCCAAAAGTTGGAGTCCTCTTAGTGCCCCAAGCACCCAACGCGTCGTCGGGTGGGGGGGGGGGGAAGGGTTCCCAGCGCGCTGCCTGTGGACTCCCAGCCGGTGTTGTGCAGCATGCCGCCACCCACCTGACATCAACATATGGCTACTCAAAAATAGGGAACCCCCGAAATGGCACCCTGGTAAATGGAAACAACGACTAAAACCTGTGGTCCGATTCCTGGTGGTTTAATTTTGACCCGTACCCATATCCATTGGTTCCACCCGCCGCCCAAACGTTGAATGGGAGAACAACAAACCACATAGCCACCATATGAAGGGGACACATCCTGTACCGTGGGGGTAGATTGTGGAAAACGGTTTGGATGTGGATCCACCCCTGGATATTAAAACAGTACTAGAATAAAAAAGGAACAACTGGGGGAAGAACAAATGAAACCCACAAAATGCGCATCTAGAATTGTGCTGCACAATGACAACTTGGAGTGACGGCATGTGGCTACGGCAAATGTCGGTAAGCTTTGACCGTTGCTCACCTGAATCGCTGTGAGCATGTGCGAGACACGATGCCCAAGGAAAAACTACTTTGCTCAAAAAGGCACAGAATCAGTGGTCGCCCTCCCAGAGAAGACAAACAAACACTTAGTAACTTTAGAAAGACGGAATGACAAGAACCGAAAGACACGTCCAGAAGTCCGTTGACTTTGAAAAGCTTGTATGACACTAGCGCACTACCCGTGCACGGAACTTGGTTTACAGAACTGGTACTTTTGCAGGAACGCATGCAGGAATTGCTCGGATTGGTCGCGTGCAACTGCAGCAGTGTGACCCGCACTTCCAATTGGAACAAATAAATCGGATGAAACTTGATAGACGCCCAAACTGCCATACCCTCCAAACAGCCGAGATGGAGCAGGTGCTTCCGCTTCCAAATGCTTCCAGCAAAGGGGGCGGAGATACGTTTCAAATGGGCACTTCCATTCGTGTGTTCGGTCCAGAGGCTGGCAACATCCAGGTCACTAGATGTCAAGTAGTCACAACAAGCGACAAGATGTGGCACCCCTCCACACTGTGGATTGCAACATGCCGAATGTGTCAGGAAGTGGGATCTGGACCCGCGTAGCAGCTGTGAAGTGAATGAACGCAACTCAGCATAGTCAACGTGAGGTCATGAGGCTGTGGAAGTGGTGCCAGCTAACACGTCATTGGTTTGGCTAGTCCTGTTCCCAATGCCTGCTCTTGACATTTGGGTGTGGCTCAAAATTTAAGAGCTAGGGTTCTGCAAGGTTTAGTCTTTGTTTCCATTTACCTAGGGGCCATTTTGGGTACATTTTTTTGAGCCACGGTTGGGCTGCCCTCAGATGCCGTGCACAAAGTTTAACTTTTAGAGGGCTAAATGGAAACTACCACTAAACCCCTTAAAAACAAGAAGCTCAGGGGATGGCTGGGAGCCACCAAAACGACGCGATGCTGTTTGTTGTCCTTAGGCAGAGATTGGCGGTCAGTATCGTAGTATTCTAGCAGCCGCGTTTACAATGCTACTTTCTATGGCGACCATATCTTTCAATTGCATTTGCATCTGGCTAAGGTTGAGATCGGGTGATGCACATCGGAGGATATGCCAAAAGCCTATTATCCATAGGTGTCCTTTTGGAAAAATAGATGGCCCTGGTAAATGGAATGAAGCCCATTTAAACCAGTGCCTTCTATTACTAAGCATGCTAACCTAAAAAGGACACCTATGGTACCAACTTTGTTCTTTTTTGTCTATTTCCGTAGAGAATCCCTCCCAACCAAAAAAGAAACGGTGAGCAAGGGCCCTATGCTCTTGTCAACAAGAAAGAAACAAAACCAGCGCCGTTTCCAGATGGCCAGATGGCAAGTCCCCTGGAGCTCAGCGTCAGAGCGTCTGAGCGTCTGAGGTCGCCACGCAGGAGTTCCACTTCTTGTCCAAGAACCTTGGAGCCAGCGAGCCAGGGCAGCTCTGAACACCTTTTTTAGCAGGGAACCCAAGGGTGCCTGCACTTTGATCTGGGGTTGGGATGGTTGGGGGCCAAAGGGGATTTTTCGCGAGATCCGGTGTTCCAGAACCTGGTCGAGGGCAGTTGATCAGGATCCCCCAGTACACCTTTGGGCGCTCTTTAACTTCCAAGAGGGTCGAAAGGCACACCCCAACTGCAAGAGAAGTTGCAAGTAACTTAGTTGCACAAGTTCAAGGAGATTGCCCCAACCTTTTCGAGTGAAAACCAAAAACCGGCCGCGGAAAGTCCGAGTTGACTTCGCATGGGATGCATCCGGTCGCGAAACACGGCCCGGTGGCATCCTCATGGTAATTTGGCAAAAAGAAACGCAGCAATTCTGGCCGCTTCGCTGCTTCGGCCCCCCGATGCCACTTTTGCTCTGCAGCCAAGAAACTGCAGCTTCATCTTGAACTTGTGGTTCTTGCAGTACTGCGTCAAAAATGACCTCGAGAGAACTCCGCAGTTGCTGCAAGCTGCATGTATCAAAAGTGCCCTGCAGCAACTAGTTTGAATCGGTATTCTGGTCATCAGCGCCATTCCTCGACTGTGCCGTTCAGACTTTGCGCTTTGAGCGTCTGAGCAGTAGACTTGACAGAGGGTCAATGAATGCGCATTGTAAGCATGCCTATATCAATACGTAACATCATGCAAAATGAGGTCGCCCGCGTGTGTGAATCAATCAACCCCCGATGATAAGACTCCGATGATAAGACTCCCACTTCTTCCAGTTGCAGGTCACCACTTGGCTTGAGCAAAACACGGTGCCTGAAGGAACATGCAGAACTTGCGGCTTCTCAGGGAACGCAAAACCTGGGCTACTTCCTTGGGTCCCATGCTGTACAATCTGAGAATAACAGCACCTGGTTGTCCACCAGGCACCGCACCGTTGAATCGGCGGTCCAGGACCTTTTGTGCCCTTCGTTCGCATTACCATTGCATCCAAATGAAGCAGACACCTAATGAGCGAACGTTTGGAGTGCAACTCAAAAACAGGGCGTGTGAAAACTAGAGGATGATTTCAAAGGGCAATCAACAAAAAGCGGAAACAAGCATTTGGACAGGTGAACCATTTTGGCAAGCCATCTTGACACCCAGCTTAAGCCACTTTTCCTCCTTTCTGAGCTGAGGAAAGCCACTTTTCCTGAAAGAGGCGGCCCCAAAACATGTGGTTTCCCTTGGTGTCTCAGACAACCACTTCCTTCCATTTGCTTAAGTCCACCGAAACAAATACACATATGTCCATTAGTGATACGTTCCCTTCAAAACCAACAGGCGCCAAACAAACATATTCTGAAACGCAACTGAAAGTAAGCTGGGTGTTCTGTCCTGGGTAATTCAAAATTTCTGATGGAAGCTTAAGGGCCATTTTTTTCATATTTCAAAGCGCGAGCAAGCGCGAGAAGCTGGGCTTCCCCTGCTGCTCCGGCATTGCGAAGTGGTGCTGCTCATCAGCCAAGACCTGCACAGATCAAAGATCGAAGAGCAGGGGACGCGTGAAAGGAAAGGGTGTCCAATTTATGAACCAAAGCGCCTGGGTATTGGTTTTGGGTGGGCTCTCTAGAACTCAGTGATTGATTCATAAACGCTCAAGGAATTAGCACATGGAAATTAATGCGCCAGCTGTTTGTTGTGAAAACAACGCAGACATTTCCCTAAGGCCAGGTGCTGGCAGCTGGACAGTTTTTGCAGGCTTGTGTAAGGAGCACGGGGAGAGCCATGTTTTGGCTAGTGGCACAAAAACTACCGTCAGCAGTTCTTCGCACGCGGAAGCGCTGGGGGTGCGATGAGTGTCCCTTAGCAATCTGTTTAACTGGGCTGTCCAAACTGATCCCCTGCTAATAGTGACAAACAGGTCCAGAGGCATCAGGTCTTCGGAGGACATTGAGGCGAATTCGGGTCGTGGCTTGCAGAAGCGGGGGTGCGATGACTGTCGCTGAGTGTCTGAGAAATCTGATTAACTGGGCTGAAAGTGACGAACTGGTGGATCAAATGCGTTGAACCTACCACTAAACCAACTAAAGACACAAAAAGCTAAGGAACCGGATGGCTGGGTTCTACCAAGTTCAGCAAGTCCGCAGGTGAAAGCTCAAGGATGCCCGCAAGAAGTCTCCTATCAGCCAATGCAACGCTAGGGGAGCACCTGGTTCGTGGGGCCCATCTCTCCATCTCTCCCTCACGAGCCTTGGCATCGCGCAAGCTAAAAAATGCCGATCAAGGCATTGCAGGGTTCCACATTTTGGCAAACGTCAGCCCAAAAAGCTAAAAATAAATGGAACAAAAGCATGAGAGCCACAGTCAAGATTACTTGCTTCCCCCAAGAGGACATGGGACAAATAGAAAGTCCCTTGCTTTTTGTGTGGACTTCGTGAATTCCCCTAGACTCCTCCCGAACGGACCCATACAAACTTTCACCGAAGCTGTGTCGAAGCGATCCTTGCGCCGCCCAGGCCTGCAGCAAATGGGCTAAGCGCTGGCCCGAAGGGGTGATCACCATGACGCCTCGCGCGGATTTTTTTGTGTGACGTTGGCACCGTCGGTTTGACGTTGGCACTAGGGTCTTTGCCTCACTTCCGGGGTCCCTCTACCAAGCCCATCCAAGCCCAAAAGCAGCCAAAAGCCTAAACCTACCCAACAGCAGCCCCTAGATCAGCGCCCAAAATCAATTCCAAACCCCAAAACAAGCTCCACGCCAGCGCCCAACTTTCAACTGCCCCCAAATCAAAACAAATATGCGACCTGCTCCTATGACATCAGTGCCAACCAACCGAGCAAGCAAGCAAGCAAGCGACCAAGCAACACACCCAACCCACCCAACCCACCCAACCCACGCGACCAACCCAACCAACCAGGAACCAACCCCACCAACCCCACCAACGCCACCAACCCACCAACCCAACAGCCAAACAACCAAACAGCCAGCCAGCCCGACAAGCGCAAAACACTTGTTTTCTTGCAGCCCCCTACTATCCCCTACTAAACAGTGAACAGGAAAACAAACTTGCCAAGAACGGGGAAGAAATAAAGTGAGCAACCACAGCCTGCGTTCATGAAGCGAGAGTCGCCGTCACCTGGCCGAGCAACACATCTGGGAAGGCTGTGAACTCAGGCTTTGCCAAGGATGTTCGGTTCTTGCAAAGTACCGCTCCCCCAAATGAGCGAAGTTACTCTGGTGTTTTCAGTTGAGAGACTCACTTCGTCAAAAGATGCCCTCCAATTTATTGCAAGATTTGGAACAGGAGACCTTTGATGTTCCAACCCCAAACCTGACACCTTTGAGACATTTCCCTCCGCCTTGTGGTATGGGCCTTAAAACCAGGCTGAGGCTGGACAAAAGAGTGCACTTAGTCCTGAAAAGGAGTTTGGATCATTTTTCCGGCTGGCACATCATCTGATCATCCACCAAACAGGACTCGCATTGAACCTTGACCAACAGTCGTGGCCACCAAACATGGCCTGCCGCCGGCATTTACTTCAACCATTTTGGGATTTGAGCCTGAAATGTGCCATGGTCCAATTTCCACGTTCTTGGTGTGGATGGACCTGCAACTGATGGGAGTGGGATCGTTGGACCTCCAGAATTATGCACAATCAAGAAGTCCTCTAGTTTTGGGAAGTATTCGTGTGACCTCTTTGTTGGCCACCGTGTTTGGAGGAAACTGACATGAAACCTGAAATTGCAGACTCTGAACAATAGACATGGCTTCCTTGTGGCCTTCCTTCAACATGCTGGACAAACCGGGAATTTCCCGACCCGAGAGCAAAATCCATAAGAGCCATGATCACAACCTGGGAGATGAAGGCCAAAGGACAAGCCCATCCACACATAGATGCAAACAAACCGCCCTTTTCTTTAGCTAGGTCCTCCAGTAGAGAGGTTAGAATAAGAGTACCCTTTTTTCCGTAGTCTACTTTAGTAGGGGAACTCTCCCCCCCAACAAAAAGGGGGAAAAGGGCACTACTGGGGTACCTAGTTAGTTACAATGGTGTTCGGGTGACTTTCTTTCGACTACCAGCTCGAAACAAGAACTGCTGTTCCCATTTAAAGTATCGCCCAGAAGGGGCGAAGAAGGAAAGGAACGAAGAGGTTCTCCAGGTTCCCGTTTCCAGTTCAATTGGACAGTGAATTGAAATGCCAGGTTGCGATCCAACTGTGAGGCCCCGGCGAACCGCGCACAGCGGCGCACTGCATTCTGAGAAGATCTTCCCCGGGCCTCAATTCCGAGGGCCCCAATTCCGACGCGCGACTGGGCGACTGGGCGACACGGAACAGGGGTTGACCCCATTTGAGAAATCGCCAGTGTTACACCCACATTACACCTGAACGAATTGAAGGAGTCTACCCAAAACCACAATGAACAGGGACACCTATGGGGGGCCGTCTACCTAGCTTCAGTCAAATACCCAGGTTTCAATTGTATGGCCAACCCTTAGTGCGTCGGGAAAAACCAACCAAACCTGCTTCCTGACAGCTCAACCGCAAGCCAAACACAACCTGCCAAGAACGATGTTGTTCAACTCTCTTCTGCGCAATTCGGGGAAGTTTGACCCTCCTCCAAAACCAAACTGCCACTCAGACGGTTTGGTCCACTGGGCTGTCCGTTTTCAGATCCCCCGCTAAAAGTGATTCACTTTTAGTGGGTGAAAAGCTTAACTTTTAGTGGGTTAAATGGACATCTAAAAACCTAAAAGGTTAAGAAACCGGATGGCTGGGAGCCAGTCCATTGCTGCTTGGCTCCCCGGCTCTCAGCGTCTACATCAAAGACCATGTCGGTATCCAGCAGGGCCACCTGGGAGTACTCCGTCATCCGCCAGACCTCCGCCGGGGGGGGGGGGGGGCGGCGGAGGGGTGGGGGAAGACTATACCCGAAGCCTAAGGGAAGAAGCCCGAAAGCACAGGACACGCGATTTTAACGCGCGTTATTTGGTCCCGAAACACAATCGGAAGACTAGGAGAAGAAGCAGGAAGACTACGGGAAGAAGCCGACAGACTAAGGAAGATTACGGGAAGAAGCCGGAAGACTACAGAAGACTACGAGAAGAAGCCGGGACTACAGAAGATTGCGGAAGACTACGGAACACAACGCGGAAGAAGGGGGGGGGAGGAGGGAAGGGGGGGGAGGGGGGGAGGGGGAGGGGGGGGAGGGGGGGAGGGGGGGGGAGGGGGGAGGGGGGGGAGGGAGGGGGGGGAGGGGGCGGGGGAGGGGAGGGGGAGAGGAGGGGGGGAGGGGGGGGGAGGGGGGAGGGGGGGAGGGGCGCAGGTTGTCCGTTTGACACCTTCTGTTGACACCTTCTCCCAAAAGGATAAGCCGTAACAACTCCCTGATTGATTAATGGAGACCTTTTTCTGGTTGGAAATGGAGTCCCACGAAGATAAGCCGCAACAAATCCCTGGTTGATTCTTCATTTGGGTGTGCCCAACTCTTGAGGAGGTCCTTCGCTTTTGGGGTGAGACATCCGGGGTTGACAGTGGACCTTCTAGGGGAAGCTTTGCTCTTTTCGGGGGGGGGGGGGGGGCTGTTTTGCTTGGCGCTGAAGCCTCGCATTATGCGCTCAGCCCGAACCTATCGCACCAGCAAGTTGTCTTTTTGCTTGAATGGTCCTGTCTTGACGTTGGGGGAGCAAAACATCAAGTTTAAGCAGTTAAGTGGTTGGATTTCAACCACTAATAAGCAAACATGCCAACACCAACCATGCTCTGATGTCATTAAACAAAAAGAACTTGGGCCTCAAACTCTGGCGATGGAATGTCCTGAGTGTCAAGCACTGCGTGTGTCTTGTAATTAGTTGTTGGGTCCCCTGTCCGAATCTCGGGACTGAGTTCCCGGCGGCGAACTTGTTCATAACGCCGCTCCAGCGGCGGTGGATCACCTGCCAAGTCTCGGAAACCGTTGAGCTCCCAAATGGGAACGTGACACACACACACACACACGCTAGGTCCTCCGGATTTGAGAGGTTAGAATAAAGGTACCAACTTTTTTCTGTTCTCTCTACTTTAGTAGGGGAGCCCTGCCCCAAAAAAGGGTAGAAGTGCACTACTGGGGGACCTAGCACAGGCCCTGGATCTGTTTGACATTAGGAACCCTGCAGTGAACCTTTGCAATTCTTGTGTGTTGTCGAACACATTACCTGAATCACAGCTGACTACACACCAAACATTGAAGAGGTCATGCATCACATGGGTTTGGCTCAAAATTAAAGAGCTAGGGTTACGCAGGTTTTAGTCCTTGGCTTGGTGCCATTTTGGTACATCAATTTGAGCCACAGCCACATGACTTTCTCTCGGTCGCGGATCCAAGCGCTGTCGAGCTGCGGGATCTGAATCCATGACCGCAGGCATGGGGATGGGATCTGTGGGGTAGATCTTGACCTAGGCACATGGTCTCTGGGGATAGCACACCCCTTTTGGTTTTCTGTTTAAAGGAACGTCTGATGAAACATCCATCATGTTCCGGGATTCCTTGACGTTTTGGGACACACCCAAGACAAGAATCCAGGTTGTCAATGGTGCACTGCACGAGCTCCGGGCACCAACTTGTGACTCACTGTCACTGTGGTCGAATTTGGCCACCGCATTTCATTGGACAACTCTGCCTGGAGTTTCAATGTTTGACAGTTGGCGCGGTCGCTATAAAGTCGCTATACTTCGCCACTCAAACAATGTCAGCCTGCTGCCAAAGCAGTATGTGTCAGAACGAGGAATCGACCCGTTCAATTGGTTGGTTACGGTGAACACATATTTGCGATGGTGTTCAATTTTGAGTTGTGTATTGTCTGTTTTCTGGGGGGGTGTCTTTAGTCTGGGGGTAATATAAAGTGAAGGGGTCACAACATCGAATTGAACAAAGCTGATCTTGCAGAAAGGATGTGTGGCACAATAGAAGGGCCCCTGTCGGGCCGACCCCTCAACAGTCACAGGACTTTTCTCTGACATTTCCCGGCCATGGGTCCTCAAGAGTCAAGGCAGGGTCTGCATGCTTGCTGATGCGCCGAAAAAAACGGCGAATTCAGTGAAGCCCCGTTTTTACGGATGCCCCTGTTTCGGGGGCACTTCATGGGAACCGCTTGGCTTGCTGCGCCGTCGTGCTGCAAGGTCTCCAGGTGCTTCTGCGGTGTGGTGGCCTTCCAACCAGCGGCCAGCGGCTTTCTGGGCCAATGCGGGGAAAGAGGGTTCAAAGCTTGGCTGTGGATTGGAGCTTAAGGTTGCTGGCAAAAGTTCAAGGGAGCCTGCCGCGGGAGTGGCAGCCGGCAAAACACATCTTCAAACGCTGCCAACGGGAAAAACAAGCAAGTGAGCAATTCAAGAAGGTACTAACGGCCGTGCATTCAACGGGAGTGAGGAGTATATACTACTAGCATGTCTGCACAATTCTCTGCAAGGGATTCATTGACAAGCTGGGCAGGCACTATGCACCCTGAAGTCATGAGACCGACCAAAGCTTTTCTGGGTTGGTCTCAAATAAAACATTACCCTCCCACGAACATAGCACTTATCAGGGGGCTCCTTTAAGAGGAAACTGATCTTTCAGGTGCACTCCCGCAGATGCTATGCTTGTTGCCATATTCACGGATGGATAGCCATGGGCCCCGCTGTGAACAAGCAGGTTGCCTGATAAAATGCAAGCTCTAGCCACAATTCATCAAGAAACAGTGAAAGCACTAGTGCAGCTTAGTTTAGCTCCAAAAATGCTGCCGGTGCCAAATCTGCGGGGGACTTCAAATGGAAACGATCAAAAACAGAAGCGAAAGGGAATCTTGCGACGCTTTCACACTCCTGTTTCATTGCCAACACCATAAGACTGTTTGTCCCTTGGCTAGTGTCCACTTCAGTGCAAAGAGGGTGGATTCACACAAGCACCTCACAACTTAGCTTTAACAAACAATCTTGCAGCGCTGCCTTAAGTTTGCAACGCCAAGATTGCAAGCCAAGAGTTCAAATCCCCAAACCACCAATCCAAACCGCCAATTGAGGGTAACCTAAAACCTGGATAAACGAAATCATACACCACCTGGTCACCACCTGGGAAACCATGGTGGAAACCATTGCTTGTTGGTATTTTCAGGGGAATCGAATTGTTCTAGGGTTTTTTGGTGCAAAGGAAAATACGAAAACGGTCCGCCCACGGCAGGGACACCCCAGCCCTCCATCATCTCGCTGTGTTTGCAGGCGGGTCGCCAGCATGTTCTTTGGTATGATGGCCAGAATGTCCTTCCAAGGCATTGGTTCCATACCAGCGCCACCCACTTTCTGCTTTGTCCACTCAAAACACCAGGTACTATCCAGAAAACATCCTTGAAGGGATGCTGGGGATGGGAAAAGTAGTCGTTGGGCGATCCGGGTAGATCAGCATGGCTGTTGAGCAGGCTTGTAGGAAACATACTGCCCTTCGGTAACAGCACTGGATATCGTGGATATTCGTGTGCTCATTCATTTTGATTTGAAGGGAAGGTTTCCCGATCTCACAAGAGTGTGAATCCTGCAACCCGGTCACCATTAGTAGTCCTAAATCGACTTAGCGTATTGACACTCACACACACACACACACAGATGTCGCCTCATGAATTTCACATTGCTGGCACTGACAAAGCATGACAAATCGCGGTGTGTTCCAAGTGAATCTGTGCCCTCGCAGCTGATCGACTTCGAAGCCCCAAAGGAAAGCCCAAATCCAAGCCACGAAACACAAGCGCGGTGTCAACGGTTCCACTTACCACACGCAATACACACCCAGGAACATGACACCTGACAGGGGGTCTCTTTGAAAGGTGACTCATACTCACAAGGTCTGGTTCAGAATCAATCGTCTACCCAGAACCATGCAAATGGTTGAAACAAGGCGGCGAAGGCACCGATTTATGGCAAGGGGACGATCCCTTACTAATGTTGACCCAGGATTTTCATAAACCCGTCCCATTAGGGGGGCGTTCCCTCCAAGAGTGATTCGAATCCCCACTAAACGGGGACACCCCCCTATTAATCAACCAGGGGTTTATTGATCCGGGGTTAACATTGAGCTTCGTCTACCCGGGTTTTGCCTAAGGTGCTGTTGGGGCGGAATCGCCAACTCGGACTTCCGCTCCTGCGTAGCTCCTGCAGCTCGCATGGACTTCACCAAGACCCGCACCTGCGGTGGACTTGACACAACGGGGACCCGGGTTCTGAGCCCTGACCCCGCGAAAGAGGGACAAAACCCCTGAAGAGGCCGGCAGTTTTGACTGGGCTGTCCGTTTTCAGATCCCCCGCTAAAAGTGACTAACTTTTGGTGGGTTAAATGGAAATCTTCACTAAACACAAAAAAGCTACAAGGCTAAGGGAATGGCGGGGAGCCATTAAGTTGACAGTCCATGCAATTTGCTGGACACGTTGAAGCTTCCCCCGCCCTTTGCGAGAGAGCACGGGACATCAGCATCGAATGTGAACGACCCCTGGTAAGAGTGGCATGTGAAGCGCAACGACTGCGACACAGGCACTGCCCAACGTCAATTGAACCATGGACTGGATTGATTGTTCCTCCAAGTGGACATCAAAGAATTGGGGCCCTAAATGTGTGGTTGACATTTTTTTGGCCAGCCCCCCTTCTCGTCCTGACCTACCCAAGACCACAAAACCAATAAGATCGGCAGTGGCTCTGGAACCGGTTTCAAAGCACCACAGAGGGCACCTGCAAAGTGAAGTGTGGCAAAACCAAACAGCCCTTGTCAGTTGGCGCTTTGAGTAGACAATCGACGTTTGAATGCAGGAGAAAAGGTGGCACTTAACATGGATGTCCTCCAGAGTTCTTGCAACTGTCGTACCAGGGCATCCATCGACATGTGGCTGTGGGTCAAAAATAGGGACCCAAAATGAAGGAAACATGGACTACAATTGTGGTCCCCTGGTGGATTAATTTGACCCACAGCCATGTGCTGCAATCGTTTGCAATTTGAGGCTAGGCTTGTATCCAGCTGTAAGCAGCGACCTCTGCAGTCACACTGCGCATGACAGTCTGCCAAACCAACTTGACGACATCCTGCTACTTGTGTTCAAGAAACCAACTACAGGAATTCTATAGGACACCCCTGATTTTGGTGGGTATTTAGGCTAACCTCCTGTAGAACTGGTTTCTATGACTGTGCAATGCCAGTGGGACAAATCCTGACCAATCAAACATAAGGGTCTCGATCTCCAAGGAACTTTGATAGGTATGTGAAAGTCTTTAGCGACCCCCCTTCGAAGGCGGCTCGAATTGCACACAGGTTGCAAGCGGCACCTATTGGTGGCCAAAGGGGATAGCAAGCAAATGGGTTGCGAGTGAACCCACTCCAAGGCCACAAAGGGCGGCTCTGAGTCGAGCGGCCGAGATGAGATTCTCGGAGCTGTTCCCATAGAAGAGGAAGGCAAACGCCTGCCGGGTCGGGTCGGGCCGTGCCGTGTCGCTGTTGAAAAGTGATCAGCTCACGAGGTCAGTGCTCACCCCTCCAGATTGCCCACTTGGTTCAGGTTCCCTTTCCAAAGGATCTGCATACAAAAAGACATGTGGATGGGTCAAAAGCCCGGTTATCCCCCAGTGAACATCCCAATCCCCACTAAAATAGACTAGAATGGGTGGTGCACCTACCCCAAAATGGTACCATTGGTTTTGACCCACAGCCATGTGGAATTCTGAGATACGCCAGAGGCCAACCATGAGAAAGCTGACAAATAAATCATCCAGCAAAGGACGTCTAGACGAAAGCAAAGGATCCTCGCTCAAATGTTCCAATAGAATGCGCGGCCACACCCATATTCCATTGAGGCGTTCGCCGGGATCCTCCTCATCAGATCCCTCGAGGCCTTTTGTGCCAGCTGCCCGTTGACTGAAAAACAGGGAAGTGGTACCTTCCACAACATGCTGCTTAAGGGATGGAACAAAGCAAGGCCCATAGCCCTGAGCCTTCACCACAACTTTGGCAAAGCCACATTACATTTTTTGGGGTCTTGAAAAAGAATCATGCTTCAAATGGTCGCAACATGGAGATCTTTTAAGGACCCCTGTTGACCCATACCCAAGTCTTCTTGTTGCTGGTGCCAGCGGCTGCCGAAGCCTTCGGGAGAGGCGGTTGAGCCCTGACGCTCGCTGACACTCGCTGGGCCTCCGTGGACTTGTCGCAATGATCTCCGCCTCAGCGAACATGGCGAGCAAAAGACCGGTTGAAGAAGCTAGCTCCTCCAGATTTGAGAGGTGAGAATAAGGGAACTCCAACTCATTTTGGTTTAGTCACCCCAAGAAACACTCATCCAGGTTCTCCAGTAGAGAGGTGACAATAAGGGTACAAACTTTTTTTTTGTCGGTTTTGTCTATTTTAGTCGGGGAACCCTCCCAACCAAAAAAGGGTAAAAGGGCTGGGGACCTAGGAAAGATCGAATGAACCATCCGACCGGAAAAAAGCCGTGCATGGGTTTGTCTCAGCATAGGAGGGAACAACAAAAATCCTGGTAGCTGTCATGACACCTCCGCATCAGTCCACCACTTTTTTTGGGTCTTCATGGAAAACCCAAATGAGTTCAACCAAATAGTGGGAGTCTACAGATCCGTTGCCCAAGAGCAGTTGTCAAATCCTGTTTACTTACAAACCAGTCCGGAAAGGGATCCACGGTTTTGACCAGCCATGGTTAAAGGAATGGGCGCCTCGCAAAGAACCCACAATGCCAAGGCGACACAAACAACATGGGGCTGTTGTACGTTTGCCGTTCTGTGGTGTTGAGTGAGGTAAGTCCAGTACATTTCCGTATATCGGACGCCAGCTAAAGTGCTCAACGCACTTGCCGCAGGACCTGAGCATAAACAGCGATCACTTTTCGTGTTGTGGGCCGCCAAAAGCAAAAAAATGTGTTTTGACCTGGGAGTTGCGGATGAGTCCATCTGGCATGTGCCCTCGTCGCTCCAAACTTCAAGGACTCACATGGCAACGCCCATCATCCCCATCATTGCCAGTTGTTTCACCTTTACATATGAAGAGCTGGCTAGCTGCACGACACCATGCAAGTCCGCAAGCTGATATGTTGAACACTGCCATCCTTGATTGGGTGGACCTCTGCCTTGTCATTGAACCCCCATCATATCTACCACATCCATTTACCAATCATCAGTCATTGTCAACAGCAAATCCCACCGTCGCCTTCCAACACACATAGCGTCCCCGCAAGAACTCTTGTCTTTGTCACCGTCTCCAACTCGGACAGCTTCCAATCGACCCGAGGTCCAACTCCCCTTGACACCCAGTCAGCTCCAAGAACCCTTTGACGGTTCGAAGGGTTCAAAGTTGTTGGACAAAATGGAGTCATGATTGGATGATACCAGGCGGCCCTGCGGGCCAGGTGCGTGTGTTTTTTTCTTGATGTTTTCAGCACACTGCGGCTGTTTCGAACAATGACACATGTTTGGGGCGTTCAGTGGGCAAAGACAGTCAAGGAAACAGGAAGGGCCGTAAGAAGAACACGCCAACTAAGCCAGAAGCGATTGTCTCATCGTTTGAAGGGGAAACCAAAAGAACTTACTCCCAATTACGGTGATCCTCCATGTTTAACACAAATTCACATTCCAGTGATCCACAGAGTTCGCCATATCTCGTGTCAAATATTGTCCTAACGCAAGCTCGCTTTAAACTGCCCAAACGGTGACGTTCAAAGCCAGCCTTTCAGGGACAGCAAGGAAACCCGTCGCCAGGGAGAATACCCTGAAACAAGGCCTCCAATATACTCTCAGAAAAGAGCTTTAAAAGGACAACTCAAGATGACCTGACCCACCCTGGGCTCGCGGGCTAACACCGAAGTCGCAGGTGCATTTGCCCCAGCGGCAGCTGCCGCGGCCACACCTAGGGCTCACACTCTTGCCAGCTGGGCGACCAAGGGCCCGGAGGACTGGTGCACCCCGAGGCACAAAGCATCAAATGGCCATCCAGAAGTTGAGCAGGGGTCAAATACACGGGGTGGTCGTCAGGTTCTCACCAACCTTCGCTAAGAAATGGACACCCGGGACCTTCATGCGCGAGGTCTCACATCCCGCTTCAGGTCGCGACTTCATTTGTCCAAATATCTGAGTTGACATGTCAGCCTTGCACCACCTTGGATGCGCCAAATAGGATCAAAGGAAATGTTCAACAACCAGAGGCACCAAGGAGGAGTGAACGGCTCGCCAACGATAGTGCGTTAAGCTACTTGCAGCATGGCTATGGCTGAATAGCTGCCATAAACGGTTGACACGACGACACCTGACATGCGAAAGGAAAACACCAGCACACGCATCGTGAACCTCTTAACTTGCTTGTCATTGAAAAGCCAAGCAATCATTTTCTGATACTTAGCCAAGTCTGGACTGCTTCTCAGTGTGACTTTTCCGTTGCCACGGGTAGGCCTTGCTGTGTGGGCGTGTGCACAAATAGATTGAACAAACACATCCGGAAAGGATCATCCGAAACACAAGTCGATCATGAAAATATCTGTCTACCTCTGTCCTGTCAAACAACCCCAGGCAGCAGCCTGCTCAAATCTCTGACGCTAGCCGTTGCAGCTCAGCTGAGTTCACTGCGACATGGCGTCGCAAAGGGTGTCATTCCTCAGATCGCACAGGTGTGCAAGAGGGGGGAATCCGCATCCCATGTCCAAAATCGCAAGGTGGTGACCCCTTCGTCCTTGCCCTTCGGTATCAAGAATAATGCACCTAGGCTAGGGGAAGGCCGGAATCGGCATCGGCATGCGTGCCGTAACAAAACCATGACTCTGCCTGGAGTTTGCCCAAACATGGGAGGATGATGCATCTCCTCCATTTGTCAAGTAAGTGTGACCCAGGGTCTACCAGTACTTACCCCTTCGCCACAGCCAGCATCAAACACGTATTGCGTTACATTGCATAAAGAAGTCGAATCGCATGAACGTATTCGAATCGTCAGCTCTTTGGATCAGCCAACTCGCAAGGCTCCCAAGGTGGAAGCTTCGGTCCAAAAGTCCCAAGGAGAAGCAGGGCTCTGGTTTGAGGTTCCCGCAAATTCGACTGCAAATGGGGTCGGAAGGGAATTAATGGTCTGGAAAACCGTCCCCCATGCTCCATACAGTATAGTTGTTATCCCATGCACCGACTTCCGATAGCCTTTTTGGATGAGAAACAGGAGATTTCGCTTTTTAGCTTCTGAGGGTTATGAGCCCAACGTGTGCGCAATGGCCGCTTCGGATGACAGCCTGAAGACCCCGTCGGAGGGTGAAGGTAGGACGTGCACCGACCTGGTGCCGCTGAAGGGCCCGGAGGGGCCTCCCCAGGTTCTTGGGCCGGGAGACCTCAATCCCTTCTGGAGCGAAAAGGCCAAGGAGGAGGCGGTCTTGAAGGCCATGCGCCCATCGTCACTCCCGGAGCCGGTGAACGATGACCCGGGGGCAGGAAGCTCTTGGAGTCCGCAGCGGGAAGCCTGGGCGGTGGAGACGATGATGCGCGGGGTAGCGGAGGAGAATGGTCGCCTTTGGCAGGAGCTGGAACGCCTGAGAGCAATGGTGGGAAGCCCAGCGGTGGAGCAGGCATCCTTCATGGAGAAGATGGCGGCGGCAGCGGGCCTGGGGAGGGCTGGAAGCTGGGGTCGCAATGAGGGCCAGCAGGTCTGGTGGCCTAATGGTCATTCGGGAGTATTTGAACGGCCTGGTGATGAGCGTTCCGGTTGGAGGAACCATGGACAGCCGCAAGGAAAGGGCTATGGAGTTTCGGCTGGCAAGATGTTGCAGGACTTCCTGGATGGTCTCGGGGGCATGATGGCGCCTGGAGCTGCGGGAGTTCCTCTTCGGCCAGACCAACAGGGCGTGAGAGCCCTTGGAAATGGAGCCCAAGGTGAAGGATCGGCTGTCCGAGAAAAGGATGCTGCAGGAGGTTTGCCGCAGTCGAGTTCGGCGGGAGCAGCAGTGGAAGCTGAACGGCAACATGAAGCATCAGGAGCTGGTTCCGGAGCTGCTGGTGGTGGGGCTCTTGGAGGCGGACTTCTTGGAGTTCCTGCAGGCGGATATCCTGGCGCACCTGGAGGTGGATTTCCTGGTGCTCCTGGAGGCGGACATCCTGGTGCTCCTGGAGGTGGATTTCCTGGTGCTCCTGGAGGTGGATTTCCTGGTGCTCCTGGAGGCGGCGGATTTCCTGGTGCTCCTGGAGGTGGATTTCCTGGTGCTCCTGGAGGCGGCGGATTTCCTGGTGCTCCTGGAGGTGGATTTCCTGGTGCTCCTGGAGGCGGCGGATTTCCTGGTGCTCCTGGAGGGGGAGTTCCTGGTGCTCCTGGAGGTGGATTTCCTGGTGCTCCTGGAGGGGGATTTCCTGGAGCTCCTGGAGGCGGATTTCCTGGCGCTCCTGGAGGTGGCCCGCCCGGAGGTCCTGGCGGACCCGGGTATGGTGGAGAAGTTCCCGGATGGCTAGGTGGAGTACTAGCCCAACAGGAGAGTGTGCGATCGGTAGAGCTGCCGATGCTGCCGGAGTTGTCGGAGTCGGAGGTGGGTCCGTTGGTGGCAGGAGATTGGCTCACCATGGTCAACCCGTTCATGAGTGACCTCAGCTCGGCATCGTCGCTCTGGTGGCAGGAGGTACTTCGTGTTTGCTACCGGCAGTGGTTGGAAGCAGAGCCAATGGAAAGGCTGAGGTTGGATCCAAGGTCACCGGAGGCGTTTCGAAGAGCACCATGGTTGAGGGTGGAGCAAAGGGGCCAGGTGGCTCTCTTGAGGGCATTGCCGGAGTCACTGAAGACGGAGCTGGTGGCCCAAAGGGAGGTGGATTGTGTGCACATTGTGTACAAGATCCTTAGAGTATATCAGCCTGGGGGACTTGGAGAACGCACCGCGCTGCTGAAGCAATTGGTGGACCAGAAGGTTCCTCAGAGCATGACGGAGTGGATGATGTCGCTGAGGAACTGGAGAAGATGGTTGGTCCGGATTGCGGAACTTAGGATTCAGCCACCGGACCCGGTCTTGCTCCTGGCCACGTTGGACAAGTACTCCGGGGTTCTGGCGAAGAACTCACCGCAGGTGTCGTTCCGGTTGCAGATTGCACGGGCGGCTTTGCGGGTGGATATTGCTCCTACGCCGGCTGCGGTGCAACAATTCGCAGAAGCTCTTCAAGCTGAAGGTGAGGCGGTGTATCATGGAGGTGCAACGCTACCCCTCAAGGAGAACATGAAGCTGAAGGCGGTGGACGCCAAGGACGGCAAGGTCAAGTCTCCGGAGAAGGAGATAAAGCCGGTTATGGACAAGCCCAAGGAGAAGCTGGAAGGGGTCGGGGCGCCGATGTCTGGTGGAAAAGGCAAGGGCAAGCAGTCGACCGCGTGCCGGTACCTTCTCTCGGAGCAGGGCTGCAAAAAGGGGAAGGCGTGTGGTTTTTTCCCATGAGTGGGGAGAAGAAGGAAAGATGGGCCGGTGCTGGAATTGCGGTAGTACCCAGCACATGAAACCGGACTGCCCCGTGAAAGAGCAGAATCCCCGTGTGAGAAAGGAGATGAAGCCTGAAGCGGAGGTCCCGGGTGCGGAGAAAAGCGGAGGTGAGCGTGGAGCTGGAGGAAGCACTACGTCGCCGGGTTCGGCTATGGCATCTACGGGATCGGGCAAGGAGGACTCGAGTGGGGAGCTCATGATGGAGGCGGTGAAGCTCTTGCGGTCGTTGAAGCCGAGCGCAAAGGCAGTGAAGGTGAGTTCGCTCAAGGAAGCCGGAGGGGGACGGGCTTTGCTGGATGGTGGGGCCACGCACATCCTTCGTCCGGCCTTCACGGAGCAGGAGTACGACGAGGCTCTGCCGATCAAGGTGGAGCTGGCGGCGGGGGAGACGGTCTTACGGATCCGGCAACAGGCACGCTGCTCACCAACTTCGAGACGCAGGTCATCATTCCCTTGGGCAAGGTGGTCAGGATGGGCTACAAGGTGACCTGGGAGAACGACACGTTTGAAATGTGCGATGGGAGCGGATCGAAGGTGGAGGTGGAGCTGCAATCGGGGTGTCCGACGGTGGCGATGGAGACGGCCTGGCAGTTGATCGATGGCCTAGAAAAGGAGGAGACGGAGGCAGAGAGAAGGTGCCGCGCTCTTCGAGCTGGAGACCCGGGTGATCTTGATCCCAGAGTGTGGAGGTGGTTGAATGACTTGCGAGAAATGTGGCCGGAGGTGCCGGATGATCTCCTGGTAAGAGTCATTCCCACGGGAAACTGGGATGGGTCTTCCCTTCCTTGGAACAGGAGGCAGAGGAAGCGGTTTCGGACGTGCGACTCGGTGATCGTCCACCTCTTCTCTGGCCCGGATCAGTCGTGGTGGAAGAGGCAGCTGGAGACGAAGAGTCGGGCGGTCCTGTGCGTGGATAAGGAGGCCAACCTTTATCAGGACTTGCTACGAGATGAGGTGGCGAGCTACTTGGCGGAGGTGTGCGAGCAGGGCAATGTGGACAGCCTGATCGGGGGTCCACCGTGTCGCACGGTGAGCAAACTTCGATTTAGGTCGCCTGGTCCACCCCCATTGAGGTCGAGGGATGGACCACAGAGGTTTGCTTTGGATGACCTCACGGTGGCTCAGAAGGAGTTGGCCTGGGGAGATGCGGTGCTCTGGATGAGGCAGCTGTGGTTGTATACGTTGGCCCAGGGGTCACGGCAGAAGAAGGTGAGCTTCTTGAAGGAGCACCCACGGGACCCGCAGGAGTACAAGGACACGCAGGATGGGATTGACTATCCGTCCTTCTTTGCTTGGCCAGAGTGGGAGGCCTTCAAGAAGAAGTATGCCCTGGAGGAGATCCGTATGGATATGGGAGCCTGCGGCCATAGCAGGAGGAAGCCTTCGACGCTGGGGACCAATCTGCGCCCGTTGAAACTGTTGGAGGGACGATGTGGCTCCAGGAAGCAGGTGACGGAGGACTATGAAACGCTGGGGCTGGACGGACGGATGAAAGCGTCTCGGTCTTGGGCGGCATGGCCAGTGGACTTCAAGCTGGAGGTCGTGAAGGGCATCTTGTTGGAGCTGGAACATCCGGTTGTTTCACGGTTGTCGAAGGAGGAGTGGAGGAGGCATTGTGCCATGGATCACATGCCGTTTAGCCGGGAATGCCCTGAATGTCAACGAGGGGCGGGAAGAGCCCGGGCACATCGGAGAATTCCAAGCCCGGACACCTATACCTTGTCCTTGGATCTTTGTGGCCCATTTCGTCCGGGGCGAGATTTGGATGAGCCGAAAAGTCGATACTTTATGGTTGGTGTCTTCACGGTTCCGGTGTATAGGAAGGGCAAGGAGGTGGTTGGCCTGGCACCGGGAATGGACAAGGTGCTGAGCAAGGAGCCTGGGGCGCTTGAGCTGGAGGTTGGAGAAGGTGAACTTCTACCGGAGGTGGGGAGCGACTTTTACCACCAATCTCCTTGCGACACTTTCAGGCTATGATGTGGGGAGCGTGATAAAGACAATGTGTGTTTCTTTGACATGCACAGTCCTTGCTTCGCGGGCTTCCGCTTTGGAGACGTGGCTTGGGTGGCCACGCCGGCCATTACAGAAGACTGCAAGTGATTTCCGCGTGCAGACAGCTCACCCTCATAGGTTTGCTCCGTTTTTGACTTGGTCAGACACAGATTGACTTTT